GTATTGAATAAAACCGGTAAATGCAACTTACCCTATCTTTTGGAAAAATATGCCTTTTAGAAAATATTTGACATGGAAATGAAAGTAGTTAGGGGAGCATTAGGTCAGACTATGATTATAAGATTCAGTGCCCCATTAATATGTTTTTGTTGATAAGATCCACAGCTCTTGGCCCCATTAGTCTATCTTTCTCATCTTCATATCAACTCATTCTACTTAACATCGACGTGGACGGGGCTTTAACACGACTTTCTAAGTGACTAAGTCCATTTATATTGTTCATATCGTACAATGAACTTTATGAAATTCTTTTATCCTCCCGTGGCTCGGGCTCTGGCGAACAGCCTAATTATTATGGAACTCCAAGATCCCAGGTCCAAAACACAACCATCTGCATATAAAATATTACCGATTTGTAAATGAATGCGATTTTTTAGAGGTGCAAACTTGGTTGTGCGAGTTGGGATGAGCCTTTTCCGGACCAATATGTCTTGAATCTAAGCAGTTTGGTTCAACTTTAGACCTCCAAGTGTTTGGAGCCAGATTTTTACTTATTTAGTATCAAAACACTGTGAATAAAGTGATATTTTTCATGCTATAAAAAGGATTAATTTACGTATCTTGATTAGTAATTGATGCTACCAAAAATCGTAGATGTTGATTTCTCGATCTTGAGGATTTTGAATGAGCACGATCGTAGTCTTCCGGTACTTGAAACAAAGGCAACGAGATATGTTCTCGTCGCCCCTCCGATGCTTAAGTCAGAAAAGGAATTATATGCGTGAGGCTATAAATTGGAGAATAATGAAAACGTACCTGAATAATGACCCATGGTTCTGTATTTATAGTGGTGGGTGACATTCTCTTAGTAGGACTCAACTATCTGAGAATCCTTATCCGAGAGAGTCTCATGAGAAAGCAGCGTTTGAATCCTATTGTGATTAGAAGACCGATTATTAAGAGGACTCTCTTGGATTTAGAAGATGTGGTTTGATGTATTTGTGTCAGATAAGAGAGTTATCAGGGGATAGACCTTCTCCTTAGGACGAGGAAGATGGTAGTTGAGGACCTCAAGTGATTATCCCAAGGTCTTATTCCCGAGGACATCCCTGCATTCCTTGAGAGTTGGTTGAACCATCAAGGTCGGGCAAAAGGATGTCCCAAGGACTTAGTGAATCCCGAGCACTAATGATCGGGTAAAAGTAAAGTAGGTTACCCATAGTCATCGGGATAATATCCTGCTCGGGTTATACCGCGAATGTCAATATCAGTAATTAAATATGTTCATCAAGAATTCATGCACTTCTTTAAGAATTGCAACAACCTACTATGTAGGTGTTTGGGCCCTTCATTTACTACTGATATGGTACGGCCAGCAATATTTAAATGAAGCTTCGTCCCAATGTATTTTCACACAGACAAACACCAAACAAACTTCAGGCTTTGCTTCAATGGCGAAATATCAGTTGTTAATTGCTCTCTTCTTCACTGTGGCTCTTGCAAAAATTGAGCTCTCCAGTTGCCATGTTCTCAAGGGGTCTGTCACTTGCCTAGACTGCAAAAGCCACTATGATCTCTCAGGTACTTTACGGCAAGAATCCATTTTTTTTTAAAGATCTAATAGAGACGTGAGTTTAGGACATTTGCATGTGCTTGTAACAAATTGAACAACTTTATCCAAAAGCTTTGTTAGATAGTAACATGTTTATTCATTTAAATAGAGTTTAAAAGTAGTAGGGGTGGATGGGTAACAGCTTGACAAGAGTTCGGTAATCTCTCCTTTCGGGCATTGGGCTCTACTCGCTAGGTCTACAACTGATAGTCCTATGATGTCCCAGTCTTTTTGAAACTCTTGATACAAAAGAAACTGCTTTGTTTCTCTCCTTTCCTATCAGCGAATTCCGAGAGCCATTTTCCAATTTCCACATCCCACGTCCTATTCTCCTAGATTATAAAGTTAGACTCATGTCTATCGTATTCCCGTGTCTTATTCAGTACCATGTAACATAAGACACACTATAATTGCTCTGGTATACTCTCTTTTCTTTATGTTTCAGCCATTCAGGTGCTGGTGAAATGTGCCAATGTGAAGAAGTTGGCTGCAGCATACACAGAAGAAGATGGCACTTTTGAGACCGAACTCCCCTCAGACTCTTCAGCTTCACCCAAATGTTTGGCCAAAATCATGGCAGGTCCACACCAGCTTTACACTTCAAGAAAGAATTCTGTGTCCACAATTGTTAAGGCAGATGGATCTGGCTACTACACTACACACAAATCTCTCAACTTCTACAAATCATGTCCATTAACCCTAAAGAACAACGGAAAATGTATAGCAGCCTCAAATAAAGATTTTGGTGCATCCAAAATAGTGGATTTGCCTCTGCCAAGGGAATGGGGACTTGCACCAACTAGCTATTATTTTCCATATCTTCCTATAATAGGGATTCCTTAGTTAATGAGTTACGTTTGATCAGCTTGCTGTTTTGTCAAGTACAGATGTACTGTACTGTACCATTGAGTAGAGACGATCAAGAGTAATTATCATATATATATATATATATATATATATATAGGTAGAGAGAGAGAGAGTGGTTTGTGTTTATAGAATGTATTAAGCTATAATAAAGTGTTTTGCCATCTTTTGAATTATCATATAATTCCAAGTGTTCTTTCTTCTGTTTATTTGCCAAACTTATTGTGTTATCAAACTTATGCCATCTTTTGTCCATTTTATCACTTCGATTACCCATTTAATCTTTTCAAATTTACGCAGCCCATAATATCCCCGTTAAGCAGCAATCAGGTCACGCCCTTTGGGTTCCGTCAACGTGTCATTCAATTTTTCACGTCAATTCATCTAATATTGCATTGAAGATCATTGAACTTCAATTTGGTTTAATCATGTCACTATAGTACTCTAGTTTACGAGCAATCATGTTACCTCACTTAAGGTTAGTTAATGAGGTACCAGGTTAGTTAATGATAGAATGCTTGTTTCGTGCTTGAATTGATTTAGTTGGAAAACACCCAATATGGATAAAAAAATATATATATAACACACGACACTACATTTTCTCTTGCGAATGACATGTTCCTTTAAATCTCTCCTTTACTAGTTCTATTTTCAAGGAATCAACCTTCCACGATAAATCTAAAATAGCATTGCTAGATCACTGATGCATTACTAGATAATATGAGGAGAAAAACCAACATCCACCGTCAACCTATACACACAAAATAATCTTGGGTTACTGCACTATAATTTATAGGAGAGCAAAAAATTGAAAAGATTTATGAATAAGAATGTCAAATATCTTGAATTTATTGTATTGAAAAATTTGTGAGCTGTTTGTGTATGTCCACGTTTTGAGGATCAATTTTTCTCCACAATGAATCATTAGTGTCGCGATGATCTAAAATCCATATTCCAATTGAGTCAATTATAAATATGGAAGGAACTATACAATTCCCCTCCTCTCCACCAAACCGAGTGACTTGCTTGCTTGTAAATCAAAGTATAGTGGTGGAGATTACACCATTATTGAAGTTCAATGACCTAATTGCAAGTATTGTGAAAGTTGAATGACCTCCAGTGTAATTTACCTACATGAATTATTTTATGTTTGAAACGTCACAAAGCAATGCCATACACATGTAAAACAAATAACCATCATTTTTAGGATTTATAATGGGAATTGCTTGTCGTGTTTCATTGTACTATGTAATGATATCTCATTTTAAACACTAGCTATTTCATTATAGAACATCGTGATAAATATAATGGTGCTAGACATATACATCAAGTATCGAATTCTTTGATCAATTTCTAGGACATATATAATTTGGTGTTAAAATTTAGAACCCTCCTTGCCTTAAGGTCACAAAGTAGCAAAAAGTAATGATCTTTCAATCATCCTTTTATAGCTTATCTCTTGTGACTACATATTGTACTAAAAATATAATAAAGGGTTCAATCAAAATCTAACTAATGGTTAAAAATAATATAAAGTTAAACACTCGCACACAAAAGAAGGAATTAAACGAGACCTACATGTACCAACGAGTAAGAGAGATTTAAAAGTACGACTGGTAGATTTATCACACTAATAAGAGGGCGGAGCTTCACATACTATTTAATGAAATAAAATTATGGATCATTAGTCTTCTTATTAGAAAAACATTTAAGTATAGTAATTGTGTCATCGAAAATTTTGGCCCACTTAATTGAGATTTTAAGGAGGCACTTGACTGATATTGCTTCTTTCATGTCAAAAGCTGTTCTTGTTTGTGTTTACTTCTTTCCCAATCCCTCCTAGTCTGTTGATCTTTTCCAAACCGCGTAGATGTAGAAGAGTCACTTTCTAGCAACACAAATGCTAGTACAAGAATTCCAAACTCCATTGTCAATAGTTTCAATAATTAATTATAAAATCGTTACTAGTAGAAAAGAAGACAAGGAACGTCGAAACGCCTTGATGATCAAGAGTCCCAATCAACGCGGGATACTTTTTCCTTTTTATTTTATTTTCTTTGTCTACAATAATATCTTAATTCATTATTGAGGGGGCTGTAAGTGTACGGTCTAGGACTGTACACACAGACATTTCCTATATATTACGCAATAAGAGATCAATAATTGGAAGTAATGGGGTACAAATTTCTCCACGTTGTGTGCTTGACTCCATCTTAGGTATTGACCATATCTTCACCACAATTTTCTCCATATCTCGTGTGCTTGACTTCATCATTTCTTTCTACATTCGACTTGGATTTTGCTGTATCGAAAGGAACTAATTATTTGTGTAAATGTGAATTGTTTTCTCTTATTAAATACTTGATGACAACGACGATGACTATTACTATATTTTGATTTTTTAATTTTCATTTTAATAATCATTTGAAAGGTCTTGGGGGTGATGACATGATTGGTGATCCAAAATGTGAATATCAATCACTCTTTTTTTATATACAGATATACATATACCGATATACAATGGTGAAATCAGAATTTTAAGTTAGGGCAAGGGGGTGGAGATACAAAGAAGATTTTTCGACTAGTTTTTGGTTGTCGTAGCATTCATTCCTATTGAGATGTTTTCTTATAAGATTTTGATCTATGTGAGTATGATTTGACTCTTTAAAATAAAATCCATCTCCTCTCCTTTAATAAATATGTCCCAAATATTTTTCTATAATTGTAGTCGTCTATAATGATACTTAATATAACTTGCTAGAGTCATTTTGGTTGAAAAAAAAATTGTGATTTAACTTAAATCAGTGCAATGGTAGATTGATACACATGAACAAGAGTAATTTGATGTTCCATAGATTTAATAAAAGGTCAATTATGAAAGCTTTCTATGGAGATACTCAGAGAAAAAAAAAAAAAAAAACGTAGGTGGAGTTATTTAAAAAGGACAAATTATGCAAATGGAACTAGAAAGTCTTATTGTTAAGTGTTGAGGAGTATTTGCTATATGTTTTAAAGGGGCAAATTTGCTAAAGGAGAAAAGGAAAATTGAAAGCGTGCAAACTCGATTAGAAATCGGAAATCGCATTCATGGCAACATATTTCAACTTTTACCACTTAAGCAACTGAAAGTTCTTAGTTAACATTTAAATATATATGCCCCTCGAGGCACACCCGAGTTGGTGGAATAATTGTATTGGTGGGCTCACAAACCAAGCGTGGAGGGTTCGATTCTTGGAAGACAGCATCTTGGAAGGGGGATTTATCTCGAAGGCAAGGTGCTGGAAGGCAGTGGAGAAGACCCTCTTTGAAGAAGGAGTAAAAGGCCATGCAGTAATGTGGGAGCCAATAAGGGCCCAACCCGCGATTAACTTCCTCAAGCTAATGAGGGGCCGGAGACTTGAGGTCTAGGATTTAATCTGACGAAGTTGGGACACCTGGGTATAAAAAAAAAAAAAATTATATATTGATGCTACCAAAAATCGTACCTGCTGATTTTTCGAGCTTGATGATTCGGGTTGATCACGACAGTGGTCTTCCGGTACCTGAAACAAAGGCAACGAGGTGTGTTCTCGTCGCCCCTCCGATGCTTAAGTCAGAAAGGGAAATATATGCGTGAGGCTATGCGCTGAAGAACAATGAAAAACGTACCTGAATAATGGCTCAAGGTTCTGTATTTATAGAGGTAGGTGGTGTGTTCATATTAGGATTCCGTATTGCACCTGTAGTAGGATAGCTTGATTTTGCAATCTTACACCAATGAGTCCTACGCGAGATAGGAGTTTGAATTGAGGTATAACTGTGATACCAATAGAGTTCTTCAGGGCATAGGAGACATGAATTGAGGATTTTTAGTCAGAATAAATCTCTCGTTGGATAAGGCGCTGTCGTAGGTCATAATCCCGAGGACATGTCGAATGATTGTTGAATAACTCTTCGGGCTAATAGTCCGGGCATATAGGGATACCCCGAGCACATATGTCCCGAGCATTTTGATACACATACCGACGAAATTGAGTCCTCGGGTATATATATACGTTGGGAACAAAACTTATAACCATCATTGGCCCCCATGCACCTGTGCTCGATAATATGCACAAGGATAGGTGCAAAAGGTTCTAATTACAGTCCTTGGTATAGCGCCTCTGACGATTCAATACTGAGGAAGGACTCCTGAGGGCTGACGTCAGACGTGGTAATGACGCCAGCCCTAGTAGAAAGGCGGTGTAATTTTTAGACCGTGGGATGTAGGACACGTGGCATGATTGAACGGTTCAGGATGCGACCTTTGGACTCCCACCCATGTTTCCCTATATAAGCCTCCATTCCTATTCATTTTTTACTTTTTTACTATCAGTAAACCTTGTCGGAATCGTCCGGATAAGGTGAGTCCTCAAGACTTTAAGTTAATTGTTTTTAGAAAAGTCTATATTTAAGATAGGATGTCGAGTGGTGATAGCGATACGTCATCCTCGAGTTCGGGAACACCAACCGAGGACTTAGGGCAGTCAATAATACTTATGGCCGTCCCCATAAGTGCTAATCCTCGAGCTCAGGATATCCCGACCCCACTAGTGTACCCTGACCACCCTTGTAGGTTTAAGGAGCACTTAGCCGTGGCGACTGCTAGGGAATTCAGCCTGATGCCGAACTGTGATATTAGGTCTCCTGGCAATGAGGATAGGGTAGCTATTGCTCGAGAGGGAGAGTTTGTCATTTTCAAGGATTCTCTAAAGGGGGGATTTAGGTGGCCATTGCACCCCTTTTTCCTCGCGCTCTTGACCGAGCATAACATGAGCCCGGGGCAGTTAGTGCCGAACGGGTGGAGGATGTTGACATATTTTTTTATTGCTTGTAGATACCTAGGGATTATCCCGTATGTCGACCTATGTAGGATGTTCTTCGACCTAAAACAACTCCCCCAGTACTCCTGTTTTGCTTACCTCTCAACCCGAGGAGGGTTTAGAATCCCGAGGATGCCTAGTTCCCTGAAGGGGTGGAAAGATAAGTGGTTCTATGCTATACCTCAAGATCCCGACGTTCCCTTTAGTCCTCGGTGGGGGGTGCCTGATACTGCTAGGTTTTGTGGGGGTCAGGCGTACTTTGAGTCGTTGGAGAGGCATAGGCAAATGCTAGAGGAGCTCGAGCCCCTCGTTTATGACTTGGA